GCATATATAGAGTTACGTAGGTGCAAAACAAAACTATATATTAATAGTCAATTTCGACTTTTTAATAAAGGATTATAGGTCGAACACGACACACGATTCTTGATTTCCAATGTCATGATTTAAAACCGTGTTTTTTCTTCTACAGATTGCATTTTGAAGAACACATGCTTGGCCATGATCGTTGAATGTTCAGCGTACAATATTACATAATATTCAGGATGATTTCAACGAAAAGCAAACGAAAAAGATTTATTTTTTTAAATCCGAGCATTCCTTAAATTCAACATTTAAAACCGTATTGTTTTACGCAAAACATATAAAATTGAGAATGACTGATGTACTTTTTATTCTCTCTAACACTTAGGATTGGTAGTCCCGACAGCTTTCTCTCCATTAGTAAGGGAGGTCCTGGGTAAGGGAGGTCCTATTCTTAACAGTAAGCGAACACTGAAAAGTCACAGGACAAAAAGTCACAGGACAGGAAGTGACAATTGTTTAAGTATGTAAGAGAAATATCTTGAAAAATTACTTTGTATTACATATATTCTTTTTACAGTTTATGAAATTGTTCATTAGCCTTGGTAAATGAAGATTTATTAAATTTTAATCATGCAAATGATATAATATTTCTTAGCACCATGAAGCTGTTTAGGTACCAATCCACTTTGATAGTTTGTTTACTAAACAATTATTTGTTCATTTAATACATTTGTTTACAGAGTTGGTTTATATATACAATAGTTCAAGATACATACAAAATATATTTTTTTAAATAAGTATTTTTTCTTTTTCAAAGAAAATAGTCTCAGAAACTGAATTGTGACCTTTCGTCTGTGACCTTTTGTCCACAAGCACGCATTATTTATGAGTAAAGTTGGAACAAAGGTCAATTTGGCTCTGATTCACAACAATTGTTCTCTTGTTAACATGACCTTTTTTGTCGACACGCGCTCGCCGTATCAGGCTAGAACAAACAATTGTAACGTAATGAATTGCATTTGATCCTAGTCCTAAGTTTAATTTTTGGTTGAATCAGTTGAACATCGAAGTGATCATCGATGTGTAATATTTGACACTGGACATTATTTTAGGAGCGATGCAATACAAATAATGTATTTCTATCAATCATTTACTTCAGTTAAAGACTTTTGAATGTAACAATATGGTACAAATCGATTTGATTTACTGAATTGTATATTTCTTTTTATCGAAATGAAAATATTATAAACTGCTCCCGGTTGATATAAATAAGAAGATGTGGTATGTGTGCCAAATAATCATCTCCATCTAAGTTACAAAGTATAAAACAATTATAGATTAAAAATACGGCCTCAACACGGAGCTTTGGCTCACACCGAACAGCAAGCTATAAGGGTCCCCAAAATGACTAGTGTAAAACAATTCAAAATGGAAAAACAAAGGTATGATCTATAAGTACAGTCATTTCGCTACGTTATTCTATAGCTTTTTGGTCAATTTCGAAAAAGCAAGTAAGCATCTCACTGTTTTTTAAATGAGAAGTAACGCTGGTGTTATAAAAAAAATCTGATACGAAACAGAAATATAAACCGTACACAAGATTTTATCTATCGTTGTTTGATATTTTTCTATATGATTTATTCTTGTATTAGTTCTTGCTAAAAAAAACTTGATGATAAAAAAAAAATCAAGAGAGGTATCGAAATCGGTCTTTATAGGTACCTAATGGTTTATAATGTTTTATTTGTCAATGTAATAATTTTACCCGGTAAATCCTTATATAAGATAAAACATGGAACTTTATTCATTTTACGTCCATAGATAAAACATTATAAGCGTTGCATGGGTAATTATTTAGATAGTTTATGACAACCCGTTTCGGTTGACTGCTTAGATAATCCGTTTATTGAAATGTAAATAACTTTCACCAAGCAACTGTCATCTGTATAATATTTAAAAATTTAAAGTAAATTAGATACTTAGAATATATTTTTCTTGACAAATTTTATATGGATCAGAACTATTATTTTACATTAGAAACAAAAAATGTTTAAGAAAATTTCAGAACATCTTTGGGATATATTACTTATCATTATATCTTTACGGGCGGAATGAATAAATACAGGACTACTTTATGTCAGAAAGCACGACTGCAAAGTTTTAATGACTAACACATTTCCCGGTTAAGACAATTAATCTTTTCTTATATAACCAATTAAATGTTAAAAATTCTATCGGGAAAAATTGAATTGTACGTTTGCATACTTTATTTAATGAAATAGATATACAGTATTACATTAAAAGACCACAAAAGAATATCCTCCTAGCTATGCCGATTTTATTCATAAGGGGAGTAACCCCTGATACACACAGATAAAGTGTCGCTCGTTTTATTTAAAATATTTAAAATCTTAACACGACTGAACACGATCTTACAGCAACTAAACAGATTTTTTACCTTTGGTCTTATTTTATCTGAACGTGATCTAATCAAGTCTTATTTGAACGCTAGAAGAATCTGTCTTGTTTATCTTGACCCGACTGATCTGACTGAACACGATATATCGGAACAGAGTCTGAAAGTCTAAACCGGTCTTAACGTTTTTCCCTAGCAGTAAATCAAGGCGATTAAGACTTGATCAGACCAAAATGACCGTTTCAGACTTAAATCTTGCTACTAGTGAAAGCAAACGTATTTCTGTATAACAAGCATTACACAATTTCTTTTACACACAATTATATACAATAATCAAAATGAACTCATTGAAACCACAATGAGACAAGAAAGTCTGGTATGGAACAGGCACTAATAAATCAAATTATATGCATTAGAGCATGTTTCTCCTCGTTTTGTAACCCAGTTATAACATGTACATGAATTCTAAATCGCACAATTTAAAACAAATATATACCGCTCGCTTCACTTGTAGAGCACTCGCCTCAAAAAAACTCATTTTCAAGAAAAAAATTAAATCAAAACAATTTCTTTCCCTCTCCCCATATTTTTTGGAGCTTTTGTCCGAAGAACTACAAATCATATTGATGTGGCCTAACATGGAGATATGATAATAGGAGTGGGCACGGTGTCTAATGCCCATATTTCTTGTTTCAAATGTTTTGAATATACATGTACATGTATGTGTATCTTAAATATTCATAAATGGTACCACCTTTGATAAATATCTAGTATAACGGAAAAAAAATTCACTTCTGTACTCGTGCTATGAATAACAAATCTATATATGTTTCTGTACTCCTAACAACAAAATTATTATATTTAAATTGACCTGTGTACGTTACTTTATTTAACGCCATTTTGACCTAGGTTGTGTGTCTTTTTATGTTGTAATGTTATACCACTGTTTCAGGTTAGGGTGAAGGTTGGCGCCTGTTGAAACGTTTAAACCCGCTGTAGTTGTATACACCTGTCCTAAGGTAAGAGCCTGTTGTTCAGTGGGTGTTGTTTGTTGGTGTGGTTCATATGTGTTTCTCGTTTCTCGTTTTTTATATAGATAAGACCGTTGGTTTTCCTGTTTGAATTGTTTCACACTAGTCTTTTTGGGACCCTTTATGGCTTGCTGTTCGGTGTGAGCCAAGGCTCAGGGTTGACTTTGACCTTTAATTGTCTACTTTTTACACATTGTGACTTGGATGGATAGTTGTCTCATTGGCACTCATACCACATCTTCTTATTTATAATAACTGCCTCGGTAGTCTTGTTGTAGCAGGCTCGCCTCGAGTGCGGGAGGTCGTGTGTTCGATCATCAGCTGGTTCAAATCAAAGATTGGCAGCATCTCTACTAAGCACGCGATATCTAGGAGTAAAAGCAAAGATTATTTGGTTTGGGTCATAATAATGTTTCCGGGTAGGGTGACATGTCTTCATGCGGACTTACCTTGTGAACTCGCACGTTGAAATGGATCAGCGTGTCGGTCTAGTAAAAAATCAGGTAGTTAGTCACCACTTCGGTGTTAACATGTATATCAATTATATGGTCATTTTTATATTTTATAAATTTACTGTTTGCAAAAATATAAATTATTCTAAATACTATATTTTCTCATCCCAGGCAGATAACCTAGCCGTATTTGGCACAACTTTTTGGAATTTTGGGTCATCAGTGCTCTTCATCTTTAGGCCTGGCACCTTTAATAACTATTAGCTTGTCGTAATGTTCTATTGTATTGTTTATTTGTGTGTTTCTCTGTCCTGTATGTTCTTCCATTTATTTGCATTGTAGTCCTGTCATGTAATGTTGTCATTTTAGTGTTATATTTAACATTGCCATTAAAGCGGAAGGTTTGGCTAGCAACAAAACCAGGTTCAACCAACAATTTTTTTTCTTAAAATGTCCTGTACCAAGTCAGGAAAATTGCTAATGTTATCTTATAGTTCGTTTCTGTGTGTGTTGCATTTTAGTGTTTCTGTTGTGTCTTTGTTCTCCTCTTATATTTGATGTATTTCCCTCAGTTTTAGTTTGTAACCCTGATTTGTTTTTTCTCAATCGATTTATGAATTTCGAACAGCGGTATACTACTGTTGCCTTTATTTATTCATATTCATCTTTGTTCCTGAATATGCATATTCAAACTGCATATGCAATGAACACTTATGGGCCAACATTCTGTTGATCCTTATATTCTAGCGTTGCGCAAAGTCGTGATCTTCTTCACTGCATTGGGAATAAAAAAATATTATCGTGCCGTTTTGTCTGCATAGCGCATCGAAGTTTTATAATCCTATTTTTATAATGTTGACTTATGAAACATGCACTTCATTGATGTATGCAGTTAAAATAAATTCGGCGAGTCTCTCAAATTTTTCATCAATAAAATATATAAAATACCATAAGTAAATGTACTTCAATAGATATAGCATATTTTGCCTGGAAATATTTGTACTTGGACGTTTTTCTCTTACCTGGCCCTACAGTCATTCTTTGTAATTTCTTATCTGGTCCTACAACCATTTCTATGTTATCTCTTACCTGGTCCTAAAGTCATATTATGTAATTTCTTACCTGGCCCTACAGCCATTCTTTGTAATCTTTCATCAGAATTACTATTTCCAATTCTTCTGTACTCCACTATTTTGTTCAATGTTAGATAATTATTAAAACAAGATATAATCACAATTATTAGTACTATACAACAGTAATTCCAAATTAGTTTCATTGGAAAAGAACCTAATTTAAGTGAAATGTTAATATTTCTCTTATTTTACAATTGAAGTCTTATTTTTAAGAAACAGAAATATTGTTATTTAATAAAACTGAAGAATATTGTTTGTGTTACTTTAAAAATCTATATCATAAAACGATTTGTCATAAAATGCACGTGTTACAATGATTTTATTTCCATTGAAAACTTATCTACAAGGACAAAATAAGTCTAGTGAATAAATGAATTGTCTTAATCTGATAGATTTTATAAATCAAACGCATAGCTACAGAGAAGACAATATGAAAATGATAACACATATTGAAATACACCATGTTATATTTTTGATAAGTTTTGGATTTTCAAATATTTTGGCCCCGAGCATCACTGAAGAGACATTTATTGTCGAAATGCGCATCTGGCGCAGAAAAATTGGTACCGTTAATGTTATTAATTATAATGTATAGTGTACAAAATACATGCATATATTTGTTAGTCAACCAAGAGGATTGACTTTCACAGAAATAAATTTAATAAATCTTGTTAGTTTTTCTAGTTCAATACAATTTCGTGTTGAATATACACTTAAATTTAATCATATTTACATTGTTATACAATATTGTGGTATTTTGTTCCTTTCATTCCTCAAAAAGCTTAATGATATAATATAAATAAATGATAATCTTCATCGATGTAAGCCAAGTCGCAAATGTGACACAATCTAACAGCTCTATCTGGCAAACATTTTATTTTACATAAGATAATGATATATCAAAAAGTAACACTGATAGACAGTGTTCAAAATTAAAATTGTGTTATGCAATACACTAATATAACACAACACCTTTTGCGAGTTGCTCATTTCTGAAGACCATCCTTGAATGAAATGATATTTTATTCTTCGCACAACACTTAATACAGCCCAACGTTTCTGAAATAAATTTGACCATGCAAGATCTTTTACATTCCAAGTCATAACAAAATCTCTTTATGTAGGAATATTGACAATTACAAATCAAGGCGACAGTAGTTTACCGATGAAGGTAAAAATCACTAACTGAGGGATTTGAACGAAATCCAAAAAGAGCGTTGACAGGGTTGTCTTCTGTATGGTATGTATCAAACTCCATGCGAATATATAATAAAAATAATTTTTGCTCTTTTTTCCTTCTTGTTAGTGACTCCAAAAAATTGATCAAGCGTGACTTGGCCTTTACTTAAATTGGGTATCTTTCTATTTCTCTATAAATCATGGAATTCGAGGGTGATGGTTTCAAACGACGAATATCTTTGCAGAAACGCGAATAGAATCATTCAAAAATAGTTGAATCCCCATATTTCACACAAATATGTAAATAAAGGACTAATAGCCTTGTTAAACATGTCCAGTTGTCAACAAATCATTTAATCTAGATTTCTTTTATTACAGCATACATTGCTTTAATTGCTTGAATATTTTCTGCTCAAAAGAAACAGGCCAATTCTAGAAAATATATCACCAAGATATAATTTCACAATTTCAATTTCATTTCTATCAAGATTATAAACATCAAGTTTCCGGGTTCAGTGAACACATAAACATTGTGTTGTTGCATAAGCAATAATCATATTTATAACAAAATTCAATATAATTTTTTTTTAAGTTTCCAAACGTAATAATTATGATCTCTAATGGCAGTTCAACATTATAATTATATTATTTTTTTCTGTATATTTAACATTTTTACAATTGTTTACATTATTAATATCATTGTCGGTACTATTCGATTGTCGCTTAATATTAGAGAATTCTCGATATCTGACTTTACTAACGTCATACATAAAGTATACGTGAGAAATCACAATTAAGACTATATTTGAGATTGAATTGTCTCCCTTTTTCCGAAAAAAATGACATATTAAAATGCATTCAGCTATAATTTCGCCATTATCTTCATATTTTTTCTTAATCTAATTATGATATTTGAATTAAGACAACATTGTTGTAGGGAAAAATGATTTTTTTAGTATTTAGTGATTCTAGTAACTTAAAATTATTGACCATTAAATCTCAAGAAAAATAATCGTAATTAATGGAAGCAAAGGAAGGTATAAAGAGCTGATATCCAGTTTAGGATTCAATAACTGGAGACACTGCTATACATCTGTTATACTTTGTTTAAAATGCCAAGGGTTAATAATTAAGTCAAAGCACATTATAATTATACTATTATAATTGAAATAAAAAATCTCAAAATACAAATATCATCTCACTTTGTTGACCGTCCATCCACGATATTCACACCAAAATAGGTTGTATCTCTAATTTAAAGTTGTGTTTGACGTATAGTTATCATAACAAGTATTTTGAAGGTTTTTTTCCCCGAAAAAACCTTCAGATATACCTTATAGTCAAGTCAGAATCAACATGTGTGAAATTATAGAAAATCAAATGATAAATATTTATGGTTGATACAAAACTTCACGCCAACATATAAATATGTCGTATATCTTATTTCAAGATAGATCTTGTTTGTTTATAGTCGTCAGTACATAATTAAGGCAATCTGAAATTAAGCCCGGAGTCTGGACTAAAGCTCCGTGATGAAGGCCATACGGTAACCAATAGTTGCTTAAAATCAACATTATTCCCCTTGGTAGTTAGTTATCTGATTGTTAATACTGTTAGACATCGACCATTCATCTTTTGTGGTTGAACAAAGGATTTTTTAAAAGTTTGATTCTTTATTGCTTCATATATACTTCATCAAATTGTCTGTGCGAAATAAAATGCCCCTCCGCACCAAATATTTAAAAACATAAAAAGATGGTTCGTTCCTTCTATGATCTTAACATTAGAAAGAAAATTAACGGAACATCTGAGTTGCTATCTCCTTGCCATATTGTATCAAACATCTCTTTAAACGAGTATCCACAGTAAGGTTGAACACATAAATAACGAAGTTATTTTTTGGGAAGAACTTCTTGCAAATACGTTTACGAAATATCGAATGAAATAAGTGTGGACACAGGCTAGCGTGGATAGTATCCAGCATATAAGAGAATTGCACGGTCAAACTCATAAGACCCAAACAAACTCGAACTTGATCTGGATTTTGTCATGGACATTTGCCAGCCAGACAATACCACCAGATAGACCACCAAAAAGACAGACATACAGACAAGACAACCAGACAGTCACACAAACAAGACCACCAGACAGACACACAAAAAAGACCACCAGACAGACACACAAACAAGACCACCAGACAGACAGACAGGACCACAAAACAGACAGACAGACAGACAGACAGTCAGGACCACCAGACAGAGAAATAAAACCAAACCACCAGACAGACAGACAGACAGACAGACAGACAGAAAAGACAGACAGACAGACAGACAAAATATTAAGACAGACAGACAAAACATTAAGACAGACAGACAGGCAAGATCTTAAAACAGACAGACAAGACCACCAGACAAACATACAGACAAGACCACCAGACAGACAGACAAACAAATATAATAAAGTCTCCTACAGCTCAACTTCACAGGTCAGGGACTTATATAACTAGTTATCACTAGATGAGTAACGATCTATATCAATCAACAAAATGTTTTATAGCTAATTAGGCACAAGTCCCATACAAATCAATATAGTTTAATTACCAATTAAACTTAACCCAAGTTAAACTTAATCAGCATATCTTTGCGTCTTGGCTTTAAACGCCATATATAAATATTTAACATAACGTTGCTATGAAATAAAGAGAAGAGCAAATATATTTGCTGGTTCCCGCAAGGTACATGAAATACTGTTGAGACCGAATATCTACAGATAAACCTTTTTCAACTGATTTTTACAGTTCGTTCTTATGTTGTACTATTACACCACTGTTCCAGGTTAGGGGAAGGGTTGGGACTCCGCTAACATGTTTAACCCCGCCACATTACGTACATATGTGCCTGTCCCAACTCAAGATCCTGTAATTCAGTGGTTGTCGTTTGGTGCCGTGTTACATACTTGTTTTTTGTTCATTTTTTTTGTACATTAATTAGGACGTTAGTTTTTTCGTTTGAATTGTAAAAAGTTTTACATTTGTCATTTTGGGGACTTCTATAGCTAACTATGCGGTATGGGCTTTGCTCATTGTTGAAGGCTCTACTGTAACCATTTTTTAAAATATCTGTGTCATTTGGCCTCCTGTGAAGAGTTGTCTCATTGGCAATCACACCACACCTTTTTTTATATCTACAGATCCTAGGTAAAATGAAGACACAATAAAGTATCAGATTACCTAAAATATCGACACCAGCAAGTCAGACATTTATTAGTCTTGCTTTGTTTAAAAAACACAAGAAAACCCAAAAAGTAACACCCGAACAGTTCTTGTATAAATCAATGATTTCAGTTCGACAAAATTTATTCATTCTTTTTAGCAAATGCAAATTTTAGTCTTTGGTTAAAATAAAATTGTATTTGAAAATTTAAATTGATGACCACACAATCAGTCATATCTATTCAAACAAAAGACAGACAGACGAGCACGACGCATATAGATTATTTTTTAAACCCGTTTATCACTATAACATTTAAAATTAAAACAAACTAAAGATAACAATGACGGAATAAGGCATAATAAAGGTGAATAAGCATTTTTTTTATATCAGAATACTCCTGTAAAATAATATAGAACATTTATAAAAATTTAGAACATTTATTAAGAAGATAGGTATTTGTCCATACACCTTTCCATTTTGTTTTCTAGAGGTCTAAGTCTGTAAAGGTGGTCTTGGTACGCTTGGTATGTGTCCCTAGCCATTTCCATGGCACCCTTTTTCTTTTGGGGTGGTTGAACTGCTTCCTCCTCATCCTCATCATCGGCAACAGGGATCGCTTGAAATCTGTTTGCTACGCCAGACGGTTCTTGAGGTTCTTCTTG